ACTGAGATGGAGGATAGGCTGGAATTCAGCTAAGGCCATGACGATGACTGCACAGCTGAGTATGGGGACAGCTCCAGAGCATGCCATTCATACAGTGATGTCTCTCAGACTTTCTGAATCTGTGAACAACCTGCACAATTTTATGTGGCAGTCCCGGATTTAATTAACGCATCTGTGATGTTATGAAGCAGAAACAGGAGCTCTACAACAGGACACATCAACAGAAGGCCTACTGACATTCTCGGCCAGGTCATTTTTGGTTGCAGCGGGCTGTCCTGGGCACTGCAGGATGTTAAAAAACTTCCCTAGTGTCCACCCACTTAATGCCAGTAACATCCTCCCTGCCCCCAACTATAACAACTAAACATGTCTCCAAACATTGCCAATGTCCCTTGGGGGGCAAAATTCTTCCCTCCACTCCCCCATTTGAGATTCACTGGTCTAGAGGAACAAAGAATTGGGTAGTGTTGGTCCAGCTCTGCTGAAGAGAGAGAATACACTGTATCTGCCATATGTGAGCAAGGAGTGTAGTCTACAACAGATCAGGAATAACACTAGGCAATCTCAGAAGGAAATATCCTCACAGATGAACTCAATACCTTTTGCTTTAATTACACTTGCCAGGTGTTGTCCCAATTATCAATTCAATATCTTGAGCACAGTTACTTAATTCTATACATTTAAAAGAAGTTTTAAAAAATGCAATGACATATAACAACCCACAGGTTATTGCTCACACTGGGCCATATAAGAGGAAACAGATGGGAAACATTTGGAGTGACTGGTAATTTAGCAATGTGTTAAGATTAAATTTCTAAAAGTACAATAAAAAAACTAAATAGTTCTTTAAATAAAAGAAGTGAAACTAAAAAAGAAGAAATGGAGAAAAAAGGAAATGAAACTAAAATTCTTCCACCATATTTTCTATGTTAAGGAATAGAGATTAAAATATTGGTTTGCCAAAAACTTCATTTGTGGTTTTCTATAAGATTGTACAGAAAACCCCAAACCAACTTTTTGGCCAACACAATATATAGATTCATACTTATACGATGTTGCTTTAAGAAAGCCTTTCTCTATAAGAGAGAAACATAAAGGAAAAGATAGATTTGCCTACATCAAAATAAAAAGCTTCTGCAATTCAAAACAAGTTAGACAGAAAATGTGAACAAAACTAAAATGTAAAGCCAAAGAAAATATTTACAACATAAATGTTAGTGGTTCAAGATCTATAAGTATATAAAGCTTTACAAATTAAATAACAAAATCAACACCACAATGGAAAAATGAAGAAAGGATAGGAAGAAGCAATTCATATGCGCACACACACACACAAATTTAGCCTATGAAAACTATTTAACCCTATCGATTGAATAAATGGAAATAAAAACACAATAGCATTTCTTTATATGTCTGTTTGATAAAAATAACACACAGCATAATAGTGCTGATGAAGGTACAAATATTCTCAAACATTAAGATATAAACCAGCACAGTTTCTTGGGAAGACAATTTAGCAATAAATACATTTAAAAATATGCACATGCTTCTAAGAAATTCTACTTATAGAAAATTTCCCTAGGAAATTGTCATGGGTCTGCACAAAGATTTAGCTATAAGAATATTCATCTTAATATAATTCATAATAGTGAAAAATCAGAACAACTGTAAGCTGATCAGTTGAAAAAAATTATGATACAGTCAAATAATGTATTATCATGCAATCATTAAAAATTATAGAGGATGTGGAAAATGTGCATGTTAATGACAGGAAAAAGATGCTTACTGACATGGGAAAATTTTCAGGATGCAGTGTCGTGCAGTGGGTAAGAGACTGGGTCTGGAGTCAGACTGTCTGGGTTGAAATTTTGGATCCATCACTAATTAGCTGTGTAACATTAGGCAAGTTAGTAACCCTCTCCGAAGCTGTTTCCTCATGTGTAAAAAAAGGTAACTTCTATGAAATAACACCAACAATCAAGGCAACAATCACCAGTGGTTACTTAAAACCAACAGAGGGAAGGTTGATGGGGAAGTTTATTATGGATTTATCCTACGGGAAACATCCCTGATCAATCTTCACATCACTAAAAGAGGATACCAGACATCATACACCTCGAAATGTGAGACAACAGGAAACAGAAGGCACAACGTAGCCTGTGATATACTCTTGCCCCTTAAAATCTGACCCAAATTTTACCCAAGAGCCTATATCTATCAACTTACTGGAAATATGGGGATTTAATTCCATTAAAATGAGATTCACAAGACAATCAAAGTAAACTAATGCTGATAAAATGTCAGAAGGGTGCTTCCCTCTGGGGCAGGTATAGACTAGGAAGGGAAAAAAGGAAACTTTATGAGTTATTAGAAGTTTCTCTGTATTGATCTGGGTGGTGGCAAATATGTAAAGAATAATAAAACTACACTATTAAAATTAGTGTGCTTTATATACTTTTTTATATGCATATAATACTTCAATTGTTTTAATGGAAGGTAAAAAAAAAAAAGCTCTAGCTGACTTTCACCATTGTCTAGCAGTAGAAAGAAAAGTAGGGGTGGTTATAGAGAATTGAAGCCAAGAGGAAGTGGTGGTGGACAGCACCTGGCTGCTACCTGTGGGTCTCATGCTCCCATGGAACTCCCCCTGCTGCAAAGAAGAGCTGGAGGGTGGGACAGCACAAGGCTTGGACCACTTGGAAATTTGGGTACTTATTAAAGAAATCTTATAAAATGGCTGTCACAAGGATTTCCACACCAATAGGAAACTAAGGATATTGGCTACGTTGTAAAAATGGGTTTTTGGTAACGATAACCCTATATGCAAAACAGAAAAAGAGACTCCGATGTATAGAACAGACTTGTGGACTCTGGGAGAAGGCGAGGGTGGGATGTTTCAAGAGAACAGCATCGAAACACGTATATTATCTAGGGTGAAACAGATCAGCAGCCCAGGTTGGGTGCATGAGACAAGTGCTCGGGCCTGGTGCAGTGGGAAGACCCAGAGGGATCGGGTGGAGAGGGAGGTGGGAGGGGGGACCGGGATGGGGAATACATGTAAATCCATGGCTAATTCATTTCAATGTATGACAAAAACCACTGCAATGATGTAAAGTAATTAGCCTCCAACTAATAAAAATAAATGAAAAAAAAAATGGGTTTTAGTTTCACTTAAAGGATTTCAATAAGCCATCTCATCTATGCACCTGGACAAGTTGGTAAAGTGAATTAGAAAGTAGCAGTTAAAGCTAAGGCAATGTTTACGGCTGGGTACTTGTTGGAATAGACATCAGGAAGATTAGAACTTTGAGCATTGATGGAATATGCTTTGAAATGCCAGAAGGCGGTTTTGGAAATTGTGCTAATTATAAGAATATGTAAGGAGGAGCAAAACCTGTCTCCCACTCAACCTAGTCCTTCATCCCCACTTTCACTCTCACCACAGGAAGTGATCTGGACTGGCCCATGGAGACAGAGAAGTGGGCATTTTCAGTGTTTATCTTCCCAATGGTAGAGGTCTACCAGAAGTTTCAGAGAAAAGATGTGTTCTTCTGATGCCACCTATGTATCAGACACATTCTTCCTGAGATCGACAGTCACAATGTTACACACAAATGGAAGTTGGAAGTTGCATTTGATCCTGCAATACATTAAACTTAGTACTCAAACCTACTGTGAGAGAATCATCGGTCATAATGGTTCACTTGCCTGGTATGTTTCAGACCCATATTTAAGACAAAGGCAAATATAGAAAGTTGGCCATTCTTCAGAGGAGAGAAAAAAATAATCTTTTTAATTTCACTCATGAGATTTCGCTTTCAGTTATGAAAGAATTTAAGTGTTTGGAGATCTAAGTTCTATCTTCTTTAGTCAGAAGGGTCACCCAGAAATTAGGAAAATTAATGGCTATATCCATAGACATGATACATGACTATGTGAAATCTTTTGAAATCCTTGGACATACTGGTGAAGGAAGAACTCAATGAGATTTCATGATACCAGAGGCAAAAAAGCTAGTTAGTTTTCCAAAATCTTCCCCTAGTGAGTGAAGAGTAAAATTTAACCCTTACAATAGGCATATGAGGTTAAGTGTTATTAATATCGTCTTTTTATATATCAGGACACTGAGGCATCACGAGGTCAAGAACCATTCCTATAATCAAAAGCCACTAGCAAGCAGCTTGGGATCTGATCCCAGGCAATGCGACTGGGAGCCCACAGTCTTAATACTCTCAGCTCATGGTTGTGGTTTTGAGCAATTTCCTTTGAGTTGGCAGGTTCACTTCATATCTTTTTTTTAGTATTTGTTTATTCGGCTGCACTGGGTCTTTGTTGTGGCGTGCAGGATCTTTAGTTGCGGCATGTGAACTCTTAGTTGGGGCATGGAGGATCTAGTTCCCTGACCAGGAATGGAACCCAGGCCCTCTGCATTAGGAATGTGGAGTCTTAGCCATTGGAGCACCAGGGAAGGGCCAGCAGATTTAATTCTTAGCACTACTATTTACCAGCTGAATGAGTCTTGAACAAATTGCTGAAGTTCTTTGTGCCACAGTTTCCTCATCTATGAAATGGACCTAACAACAGCCTCTTTAGAGAATGTCTTGGGAAAATTAGATGAGATCATGAATGTAGATAACCAGGTACACAAGAGCCATTTAACCAGAGTTAGCACCCCTCCTTCTCTGTCTGACATTCCCCTTCTTTTCATGCTCACTGCTGCTCAGCAAGTGGGAAACCTCTCATCCTAGCTCTGAGGAAAATCAGGCCCTGACATAGCTCAGGGGAGGAGACTAAGCAGTTGCAGGAGCATGTGCACTACTGGGCCAATCTCTCGGTGTGCACTGAACATTTGCTAAATCCTTGAGCATAAAATAGTTCACCCCAGCTCCCAGACTGTCCTCCCCTTGTTAGCATAACAAGCCTCCAAGGTGCACAGACTTTGTTTCCACAGCCACACCACTCCCTGAACCCATTTCAGAGGCTGGAACAAGAAAACTCACCTAATGCCCTGACGATTCGCATCAGGATTTCCCCCACTTTCATCCTGGTCTCTGGTGTGTGCCTGTCTTTACTGCTGTCATACTGAGCCAGCAGGCCAGGCAAGATTTTCTCAGGGTACAAGTCTGAGAGGAGGGCAACCCCTAGGGTTAAAAATGGAAAGAAAGGATTCATTACTGTTCAGCACTGAAAGGAAAATAAGCCCAGACAGCTTGTGATGGGATGAACACAGAGACATTTAAATCCACCTCTGTAATTCCACCAGCAAGGGCTGCCCTTCATTTGGAATGACAACATTGGCAGTGGAAAAAACATGGGTCTTAAGAGTTCACACTCCTGGATTCTTCTGGTCTCAGCCCTATATGATCTCTAAGATCACATTCAGCACTGCCATTCTATGACCTATGGATTCTAGATGCTGGAAGCTGAGGCTAGATGATTACATAACATAGCAAGGATTCACAGAGCAGGGAAACAGACTCGATCAAATGCCCTGGAGGGAGTCTTTGGGGTCTGAGTCAGTAAGGTTCTAAGTCTAGTATCACTCCTGCCAATCCATCAGCCTGAAGCGCAGCAGTGTTTCCTATCTTTGCTGCAGTTCTTTACCCTAGAATGAGTTTTCTCTGTAAAACTGACAATGATGAGAGCAATTTCCGTAAGGAAATAAGGAATGCAAATTCTGGGCATGATGAGGAGTAGAGACCCAGCTGAGTTTCCTGATCAGGAGAGAAGATTCTGCTCCGGATTCCTCTTTCCTAGTACTTGCCGACACCCTCTCTTCACACAGCACACCTAGAGGTGGAATCTGTAGTAGAGGTAACATTATCTGGGCCCAGACCTATAGCAAGCAAACTTCACAAAGGTTGAGAGAAGAAGGGAGATAAGGCTAAGACAGGACCAGAAATAAAAACCCTAGTCTCAAAGCTATATAAACACAAATTCCATTACTTTGGGGTAAGGGAAGGTTTGGGGAGAGGTTACATACTTCTAAAAAATAGAGAGGAAAAAGAAACATCTGCAGGTGTTCTATCACTGATGTCATCATATAGCCTAGTATATATTACAGATCGGTAACAACCATAACTCCTATTTCATCAGAAGTTCCCAACTCGGCAATACCATGGATTTGTCTCCTTTTAGGAATATAGTTATACCTTTATAATGAAAATCGGTGGGGAAAGGGGATTTGCTCTAAAAAACTTTGATCTGTATCTAGCTTCTCTGAAAAATATATATTACCAGAGTCCCTTCTACTGTCATTTATGCCTAATTTTCTCTCACTAATCTTTAGCAGAGAAGTTATTTACTTCTGTGGGCATATCCTGCTGTATACTTCAAAACCAAATGAACTGGGACATCCCTGGTAGTCTAGTGGTTAAGAATATGCCTTCCAATGCAAGAGGTGCAGATACGATCCCTAGTCAGGGAACTAAGATCCCACATGCCACAGAGCAACTAAGCCCACACACCACAACTAGAGAAGTTAGTGCACTGCAATGAAGACCCAGTGCAGCCGAAATTAAAAAACAAAACAAAACCCAAGGGAGTTCTTGATTTTCTCTCTGTAGTAAACAGACTCTGGTTGCACATAGCATCTGTTCTCTCTTCTGGTAACAACACCTGTTGTTCCTTTAGGAAATATTCCTTCCCTATTCTCAGTCTACGTTGTTTGAGTGGGGTTAATGACCCACTTTCTCTCTCTTCATATGTGAATTAACTCATATCAAAGGTGCCTTGGGATAGTCCATCCCATCACCACCATAATGTATGGTTCAGGAATGAGGAAAGAGACTCAATCCTAGAACCAGTTTTGGAACTACTAGGGAAGATGAGCTCCTGGAGTTTGTGTGTTTGTGTAGATGGTTATTTTGGCTCTTTGTTTTCTTGTTTTTGCCTGTTGAAGTGATTAACCTGGAGCTCCCAGTGACCATCATTGGTAGAAAGTCTGCCCCACAATGGTGCCAATACAGAGGAGGGTCAAACCAAGAGACAAAGGAGGAAAAGAGAACTGCATCACACTTTGAGCCCCTGGATCCAATTATACTTCTACTCACTAGAACCTTAGGGTACATAAGCCAATAAATATCCTTTTACGTTTACACCAATTTGATTTTTTTTCACCCAAAGGAATACTAATATATCTTTCTTAAGATTAAAGAAACAATCCAGGTTAAAAAATAAAATTTCCCATAATGCTAGACCTGTAGTTCTACCAGGGAGCTTTAATTCTTCCAATCTTTCATAAAAAGGTTGCCAACAGCACAGTACAGTTTCCTTGCTTCCCACAGTTCCAGGTTAGTGATTGTTTATCTTCCTGCTGGCCTGCTCCACTAAGGGTTGCCAAATAGCTCTCTGTTTGAATTTACCTTCTAGGATACAGTTGCTACCTATGAATTTATAAATCCCTAGAGAACATTGGTTCCTTCCTTACTCTTACACAAAGCAGTGAAGAGAAGCACATATGATGGTTAAGACTACAGAACAATTTTATTTTTAAAAAAAGATAAGATTTTTAAAATTTTGACAACTGAGGAAACCTGGCCTTAACCTTCCGATAACCCTTGGCCCCTCCTTTGTAATCTGAAAAATGGGGTAATTTCTGGGTCAGTCCAGGCTTTAAGGAAACATGACACATCAATCCCTTTGGCAATAAGGACCAAATGATTGTGTGAGAGATACCTGCTCCTGCTCTGATCACAGGAAAAAGACTAGACATTTTGAGATGTGGTGGAACAGATAAGATACACAGAAGGCAAAGGTGAACCAGATCTGGCAAGAGTTCATAAAAATGTTCTGATCTGTGTTTGAAGGCAAAGCATAGGATAAGGCAAATTAACCAACTGAAAAAATATTACTGAAAGTAATTGTGCAACAAAATAGAGATAGTCAATTTTGTAAGACAACTGTTTTTTTCCCCCAAAGACTTTCATTACAAAGCCAGAACTGTATTCTGATCCAGTGTTGACTTCAAGATGATCCCTTAGCATACTGCTCAGTGATCTGCAGACCTTGGAAAGTCACGGTAGTTTAGGTCTCACTTTACACAAGGGTTTTACATTGTAGGAAAGATAGTCTAATCCCAAATATCTTTGCTGACTAACTCTCTCCTGGAAATTTGCTAAATCATCCCCACTTTAAAACTAATCTGACTTACTCTCCTGAGTAGGTAACAACTTACCTCCCAAAATACCCATATCAACTTGGAAAACCACCTACTCACTTGAATTTCTGCTGAAAACTGTAAGAAACAGAAATGCCTGCATACAGTATGACTCTATTTACATAAAAATGTCCAAAATAGGCAAATCTGCAGACAGAAAGTAGATTTCGTGGTTGCTTAAGGCTGTGGGAGTTGGGTAAGAAATAGAGACTGACTGCTAATGATATGGAATTTCATTATGGAAAGATAAAAACATTCTAAAATTAATTACGGTGATGGTTACACACACTGTGAGTATAATAAAAAGCACTGAATTGTACACTTTAAATGGGTGAATTGTATGAAATATGAATTATATCTCAAAGATCTGTTATTTAAAAACTGTAAGATTCATAAAACTCAATAGCAAAAAAAAAAAAAACTGACTAAAAAATGAGCAGATGATCTGAATAGGCATTCTTCTAACGAAGACAGACAGATGGCTAAGAGATGCATGAAAAGATATTTAACATCACTAATCACCAGGGAAATATAAAACAAAACCACAATGAGATGCCATCTCACATCTGTCAGAAAGCTATTATCAAAAAGATAAGAAATAACAAGTGTTGGAGAAGATGTAGCAAAAATGGGGTTCTCATGTACTGCTGGTGGGAAGGTAAATTGGTATGACTACTATGGAAAACAGTATGGAGGTTCATGAAAAAATTAAAAATAAAGCTACCATAAGACCTAGCAATTCTACCACTAGGCATTTATCTGAAGAATACAAAAATACAAACTCAAAAAGATACGTGCACTCGTATGTTCATTACAACATTGTTTACAATAGCCAAGACACAGAAACAATCTAAATGTCCATCAATGGGTAAATGGACAAAGAACACATTGGTAAATAAATACAATGCAATGCTAATCATCCATAAAAAGGAAAGCTCTTAAATTTTCAACATGGATGGACCTTGAGAGAACTATGTTAAGTAAAATAAATCAGACACAGAAAGACATTCACAAGAAAATGAGAAGCTTTTTTTTTTTTAAATGAGAAGCTTTTAAAGAACTTTTATGGAATAAATTCTAAGATCCATTGTTAAGTGAAATGCAAGGTGCAAAACAATGCGTATAAAAATTCAACAACTTGTGTACAAAGGGGAAATACTCATGAATAGTTCTGTACAGATACACAAGAAACCAATGATATTGGTTCTTTCTAGGGAGGGAAAAGGAGTAACTAGGGGATAGATAAAAGGGATTTTTAAACTCTGTATCTTTGTATTCTTTTTTAATTTTGAACCATGTAATGTATCAAACATAAATAAATAAAATATAAGTTAAAAATCTGTGCTAAGGGGCAAGGTCTTTTAAAATGGAACAGCCTCTTTTAGAGGTGAAGATGCAAAAGTAATTTTCAATCAGATGTAACAGAATGACCACAAGCATCTTCCCCCTGAAATCTCTCTACAGTTAATAGCCAAGGAGTAAAAAAGGAATAAACTGATCAACAAGAATGAAAAAATATAGATATCAAAGGCTGAAGTATGTATGGATAAAGAGAACAAAGATGGGACAAAATAATGACATGCATTTGATAGAGCTGTTGGATCATTTGGGGAAAAACAGCAATTATCTGATAGAAAACTAAGCAAATACACAAGAAAGGACAACTGAACTAGGCGTAGCCACGAATAATATTCATAGAGTCAGCAGCAAACACTGTCCAGTGATTTAGCCAAAAACCGTGAAAGGGAAATGGTAGGAAGAGAAGGAGTGCAGGCATGTGGGTACAGGCATGCGTGTGCATGTGGATGTTAACCCTCCATCCAATCTACAGGAAATGAGTAGATACTGTGCAGAAATTTTAACAGCGAGATCTGTGAAAGCATTTTTCGAATAAATATACAAGAACAAACTACTTAAGGTGGGTGGAGGGGATGATTATCACTGAGGACTAACTGTGAGGCGTAAGCTGGGAAGGAGACAAGC